CTTAAACCTTAGCAGACTTTGAAACTTTAGCGAACGCCTTCAACCCGGGTTAACCCTACAGCTCTTTTACAACCAAAATTTCCCTGCAGGTTGCTGTTTGGACCCTGTGGAACCCTGGACAACTATGTTCAACATCTCATCCAAGATTCTGAAGCACCCAACCCATGTCAAAGCCCCAGACGACCTCCTGCTGAACTTAATTTCGACCCCGAGATTTAAAGACACAAGGTTGACCGATATTTCATCGTCTGCAGAGATCCGCTTTGGCGTGTAATATAAGGGGCCAGCCTCAATAATTAGAATAAGGTTTTGCGGGCACACTATACTATACCCTAAGGGTCCATGTACCCAAATAGTATATACTTTGGGCCCAATGTACCCAAAACGGGGGTACTTTAAGGCCAGTGTATATACTACTTGGGTACATGGACCCTTAGGGATACTATAAATATAATCAGGAGCACCCGAAATAGTATTGGTCATTTTTTTTAAGGCCCCTATAGTCGGGCTCGAGGAGTTAGGGGCTGAGGGCTGAGGGCCGCACCTCGGGCGGGGGTGCAGAGGGCGCCAGGATCGACTCCAAGGTGATCTGGGTAGCCAAAAAAAGAAGACTTGCTGTGGGCTTTTTGTGTTTTATAAGTTGTATGGGGCTTTTGGACTTCTACAGGGGTTGTATGGGGCTTTTGAGTTTTATAAGCTGTATGGGGCTTTTTGAATTTTGTGGGGTTGACAAAGGGCTGTACAGGGGTCTGCATTGATAAGTCGGGTTATAAGTCCCCTCATAGAGGCTATAACATAGTTATCCTCCTCCTACTTATAACTATCCGTGAACCTCCAAGTAGACAACGAACATGCGCACGTGTCCAAAGGCAATATACATTGGGGCACGGCCTCTGTCAAAGCAAAGTCCTTCAAGCCATGCTTTCAAATACAAACCCGGAGCCCTAAACCCCAAACAGTGACACCTGAACCCTAAACGTCACATGCCTGCCCATCCTTTGGCCCCAAATCATCGCAGAGCTTCTGCACCTCACAGGGGGAAGCAGGCTTTAGCGTTTATTTATGACTTAACATCTAGTCTATAGAGTTCCGATTTAAGCACTAGGCTTGCTTCAGGATTTGGCATTTGGGGTCTGCGACTCCTATGCTGTTTTCGAGCTTGGGTGCCTGGTTTGAGTCAGGGCTCGGATTGGGTAGTGTGGAAAAAGGGCTTCGCGGCATTGAATTCTGCAGTTCGACGATGGAACTCTATCTACGGAATACCATGGTCAATAAACCCTACACCGGCCCTAAACTCTAACCCTAAAACCGTAAGTATTTTAACCTCCGGCCTGGGTTCTAAGGCTTTGATCTTGCTTTAGTTTAGTGGACTCGTTTCTTTCCGTGCTTCCGGCAAAAGTTCGCTTGGAAGTTGCTTCAAGGCTACGGCTTAGGGCTTAGGGTTTAGGGTTTAGAGCTTAGGGTTTAGGGTTTAGGGTTTAGGGCTTAGGGTTTAGGGTTTAGGGTTTAGGGCTTAGGGTTTAGGGTTGTTTTAAGAAAGCATCGCAGAATCAGTGCCCAAGGTCTTGAAGATTCCTGATTTTCGAAGCGAAGCTCCAGCTGCTCCGGCCTTCGATTGGCCTAGGATTTAGGGCTCCGCGTCTAAGGAGACCATGCCAGCATTGACAAGAAGACAATGCAAAAAAAGCCGTTGTGAAAGGCCTTCGGCAGTTTTATTTTCAGGCTATGAGGCTATAAGTACTACCTTAAACTACGTACCAGAATGTTGCCAGAACCTGCTTTTTTGTTTGACCCCTACGATAGAATCTATCTGGGCCCTACCAAAAACTGGAAAAAGCAAGTTTCAGTAGCTCAAGATACAGGATAAGGCTCGACCTTGGAACCCTTCGAGTTTGGAGAAGGGAGCTCCGAAGTAAGGGTATGAACATGTGTTTGCCGACTTCCTTTTCAGACTCTTTGCCGTCTGCATGACGAGTCTCGGGGCTTAAGGCCCGGAGTGTGGCGCTCAAGCGGTGCGGTGCTTGTGCGGGCTGTCTTTGCATCGGTGAAAGCAGGTCCACCCAAACAAAACAAGCAACGACGAAATCCGCAGCTATATTGAAGAGATCTTACAGCAAGCCACACAAATCATCGGAGGCCTCGTGCCTGAACCAGAAAAGCCACATAATAGCTGCAGGCTGCCATTTAGATCACACGACTAACAAAATTTCAAATTGGATGCATGCCCACATAGCACACATCACTTGTGTGGCACAGTGATATATATATATATATATATATATGTGTACATACATATATATGTAAATGTATGTATGTATCTAATGTTCGCGCGTGCGAGTGTCTGTATGTCGGTATGTATGTAGGCATGTATGTATGTACGTGTATATATATATATATACATGCATGTATGCACGCATGTATGTAATATATGCATGTACTTATGTATGTATGCATGTATGTATGTATGCATGTACATCTGTATGCAAGTGAGTATGTATGCATCTATGTGTGTATGTATGTCTGTCTCAGTGTAGGTATGGAGGCATGTATGTATGTCGGTAGTATGTAGGTATGTAGGTATGTGATTACTTTGTATGTATGCAGTTATGTTTGTATGTTTGTCTGTATGCATGTAATATGTGAATGTGTTTAAGAAATATAAGTGTATGTATGTATGTATGTACGTATGCATGTATTTATGCGTGTTCGTATTCGTCTACATATGTGTATGTGTGGATGTATTATTTGTATTTTTTCAAATGTATGTATGAGTGTATGTCAGTGTATGTTCGTTTGTATGTATGTATGTATGTATGTAGGAATTTAATCTATCTATCTATCTATCTATCTATATATACGATATGCAGATATCATAGTGTTATATGTACTTACACACATACATACGTACATACATGTACATATACGTATACACAACCGTACTCGTACCCATATGCATACCCATACCCATATCCATACACATACACATACCGCATACACATACACACCGCATACACATGCACATACAGGTACACCCAAACACATGCACACACACACACACACAGGTTTGTTTACGAATCTCAACATAAACGGACCGTGCACAAGTACTACCTGCTACAATTAACTCAAGCGAATTTCGTGGCTGCACACCTCAGCTCTGAATCCTGAGCCAGACACCAAACCAGACCTTCAATGGCATCTCGTACCGCTTACGAATACGTACGCGTCCAAAGCCCTACGCCGCTCCTAAACCTTTACTGTGGCCTACGTCCAGCCTCGGAGGAACACCAGGTCGGCACGTGATCTGCCCAGGGTTCGGGGGCTGAGGGCTTGGGTTTAGAAGCTGAGGGTTTGGGATTTAGATTTCAAGGCTTAGAGAGCAAGTCACTTTTGAGGGGGACTCAGGGTTTAGGATTTGAAGCGCAGCCTCTCGTGTCTGGGATTTAGGTTCTCACTGTGGCTGAGGATGTCGGTCAGGAGCGACACTGCCGCCAACATCACCAAGTTCCCCAGCCCTAAAGACCCTAAAACCTGAGTCTGAATCCCCTAGCACTGCGGCTTGAGGGTTTCTGCTTTAGCCTAAAGTCCCGGAAGAGACTTAAGTCTGCAGACACCTAGCCATCTGCACCAGACGCACAAATTCTTTTGATAGTTGAGCAAGTCACGTGCCACGATCTGCTCATACTTCAGCAGTGGCCCTTTCAAGATAAGAGGTTTGGGTTTAGGGTCTACGGATTCGGGCTCAGGGTTCAGGGATCCCAGACCTTGCAAGGAACACCCGAAGTATCCATGGCAGGGGTCTTACGATAAGAGGCGCCGGTAGCTGAGATCCTGAGGTCCGAACCCCCACAAAGCTTTTGTACGACTGAGCCACTAGAGTTACCTAAACCCCAAACCCCAAACCCTAAACCCTCAACCCACCTTAGGCCCCCAACCCTGAAACTCTACATCGACCCTAAGCCATGTCGAGCCCCAGATGCAGTGACACCATCTCCTTTAAACTGTCCATGATTATGGATCCTGAACAAGAGCCTGGAAGAAAAGGCATCAAACAACCATAATATCTTAGTCAAAGCCCCTGTAAACCCTAAACCAAAGCTAAAATTTCAACGCCCTCTTGGAACAGGAAAAGCAAGCAACTCGGGCCGGTGCTGGACGCGGGTAAGCTCTGCTTGATGCGGCCGATCGCCGCCATGAAGTCAGCGATCCTAGGCCAAGGAAACTTGTGGGACCGGATTCAGACATTCTCAAATCCCCTAAACGGAATTTCTATGAAGACCCCAGTCCCTGGGACTTGTATCTAGTCCATACATTGCTTTATCAACCATCCACAGAGTGGCCCTGGGTAGGCCAGGTCGTTTGCACACGAGATTCTTGTATTCCCCCTTCTCGGGAGAACTGGTCGAGGGAGACAGCGGCTATGCCTTTGCAAAGCCGGAACAGACATCGGATGAACAGATCGCTGTTGGGCTTCGCCCATGCCCGTTGACTCCGGACAACGCTTTGGCTTTTCTCCTCAGTCTTGCATAAAACTTGGCTGACGTCTGAACCCCTCCTAAAAGTTAAACTTTTAGCCTTCTTATTTTAGTTCGTATAGAAACCCAAAAAGTTAAAGTCTAAAGAGCCAACCAGAAGAACGCCAAGAAAATCTAACTCATTCAGGATGCTGATGCTGATGTTGCTGTCTGTTGCAGTTTCAACCATGCTCCCTGCTCCTGCAGAGCCTCCCACGGAATCTGTACACCCCATCGCTTGGACCGGAAGCCCCCACCAACATGGAGCCCAGCAAAAAGAATTTTCGCACACTGGACGACTGCAACCAATGGAGACAGGGAATTGTGTCTACATGATGCCTATGCTTTCCAGCGTCCAGAAGACTCTTTGACGGAGAATGACCGTAAGAGGTGAGGCACCTCAGGAAATACAGGGAAGATTATACAAGAAGACTGTGGCCAAGCTCCAGTCATTCCTGTCAGTTCCTGAACATGGCTCCCCCTGAGAGCTCACTGCTCAATTCGCTTGCCCGTGAGGTCCCAGCGCTTGCCGTCTGGAGTGATCCACACATCCCTCTCATCCAGTTGAATCAGGCAGATGATCAACCTCCACTGAACTTAGAACCCTAGCAAAAATTATAATTTTAGCTGTTTCTTAGGGATTATAATCACCAACAATTAAAAAATATTTCTAAGCACCCCTAAGCAACCCCGGAAGTCCACAGCAAAGGCAGCCAGCACATCCGGCGGCCATGGTAGTGGGCCCCACGTATTTCCTTAGTTGCTGAGCTCATAAGCCCCCCCCAAAATGTACACTTTTAGGTTTATAGTGGGTAATATAATTCCAAAAAAGTGTAAAGTGCTCCACTCAGCTAGTAAGTTTCTCATGAAGGAACGTAGCCTCGGGCGGAACACCGGGTGGTTTGGGTGCCTGGGCAGGGCCAGTTGCATTGCCCATTTGCATTGGAACTGGGGCACTGCCTGCCACAACCTTAGTTGCTGAGATCATAAGCCCGCAAGAAGTCTACACTTTCAGTTTTATAGTGGGTAATATTACCTCAAAAAGTGTAAAGCGTATCCACTCAGCTACTAAGGTTCAACTGTGGCTGTGGCGCCCCTGGTGAAGAGGGGCTCGCCAGTGGAAGGGTTGTTCATGGGCAGGTACAGCTTGCTTGACGCCTCCTGCAACCAGCCGGGCTGCGAGGCTGCCGGCATTGCTGAGATGCAAGCATACGGCACGACCTTCTCATTGACTGTATCGTCGAAGTTAGGCGAATTGCGATAGGTCACCTCATCTTTTCCGCAGGTCCATGTCACCTCTTCGAACAGCCATTGTTTGGATTGTGGATGCTGGGCTGGCAGATACAATCCATTGGATTCATGCACCAGCCACAGCGCATCACCGAATTTTCCATCTTGGCGAAGAAGTGCTCGCCATTTGGGCAGGTGATGTCAGCCTTGTCCTCGTTGTTCATGCTGTTACGATACCGCACTTGGCCCTCTGGATAGTTGCACTTGTAGGCCCGCATCTTTGCTGGCGGAATGGGTCAAAGCTGTCCGAAGTGATGGCAGTGATGGCTAAGGCAGCGGCATTGAGCCATACACAAAACCAACAGTGTTGGAGACATGAAGAGAATGCAAGCAGGAACTGCAACAACAGCAGACACCAGTAAAGCATGGTGATCATCACTGCCATCAGGGAAACAAACTTGACAAACCATGTAGTAGCGCAAGCTGCCTTGAACCCATTGAGGCAGGCATTCATTCTCAAACTGCTGGCCCTAAACGTGAAACCAGCAACGGTGTGTGTCTTACTTGGAGGTTGATGGTGAACACCAGATCCTCATCAAACCCTCAACCCACAAGCAGCCCCTCATCCCTGCATAGGCAATAGGGAACCCTTTCTAAGGAGCGCTGCTGGAATTATTTAGTCACTTCAGAACCCGTTAATCAACAAAGGCCCTTGCGGAATCTGCGGGTCATTCTCGGAGAACAGGTGGCGCCAGCCCTGTGGCGGACCAGTTGGATATAGCGGCCATACAAACTATGGCTTGAAGGCTTAGGCGGCTTAGAATGGTCGGCTTCTAGAAGGTATACTCTGAAGCCACAAGGGCGAGTATAAGGTGTAGAAAACGGGCGAACAACTGGAAGAGCTACAATTCAGGGTTGTTTAAAGGCTTCTACAAGAGTTACTACACGGGTTGCTATAAGGGTACTCTGCTACAGGGGGCTTAATAATGCTTAGAATAGGGTAGGACTATAAGGGGATACGATTGAAAGTCACTCGGCTTTCACAGTTTGACTTAAGTCTAAGGCTAAGGATGTGAAGTTTAAAAGCTTGGGGTGTGGAGGTCACGGCCTAGAAACGCCAGGGCTTTAGGACCGTGGGGTTCAGAGGCGCCTTTGTGTTGAAGGTTCAAGGTCTCAGGTTTAGGCTCCATCCCTGGAAGAGTAAGATCCTAACTCCTGGGCCCGAACCGGGAAACCCTGAACCTTAAATCCTAAACCCTAAACCCTAAATCCTAAACCCCAAATCCTGAACTCTAAACCCTAAGCCGTAAACCACAACTTGAAAGCCTACTCCCGAACTCCGAGGAGCCCTTGCCCCAACGATCTCCTACTCCCAAAGCTTTTTCCTAAGGTTTAGGGTTTAGGGTTGGATCCAATAATTAGGTACTCGTCTTTGGGACAGTAGCCATCTAGGTTACTCTTCTCGAATAACATATATTTATATGTATGTATATATATATATATGTATATTCACACACACACACACACACATATGAGGATGACTTAAGTGGGTATCGGCTCAAAGTCCCCACAGCCAAAACCCCAAAAGAGCCCTGAACTAATGCTAGGCGGATCGCCTCTTTCGGGTTTCCCCGGTAGGTCTTCTTCAGCCACTCCTTCAAAGAAGCCCGGGGAGCATCGCTTAGAAGACCCCGCTTTCCCTCTTTAGGGTTTAGGGGAACAGGAGGGGCTCCCAGGGTTCCTTTAAAGGGATCTATAAGTGTTTAGGGTTTAGGGTTTAGGGTTTAGGGGAGGAGGAAGGACCCTTAGTGGGGACCCCTGGGACCCTATAATGGGCTATATAATGGGTATATAATAGCTGTAGTAAGGGTATATACCTAGGGGTCCTTATTAGGGGTCCCTCCTTTTACCCTTGGAGTCCTTCAGGCCGCAAAGGGTCCTGTGTACTGTTATGGGGGATACTTCCCTGGATCCTACTAGTAATTCCTAATATAGAAGCCCTACATTCGACTATAGAGGTACATAGGACCCTTTGGGGGCAGCACCAGAGATTTGGTGTTTGGAGGTTCAAGGGTAGTTATAAGTAGGGTTATAAGCAGGACAACTATGGTTATAACCTCTATTAGGGGACAATATTATGCCCCACTCATAACTACCCATGAACCTCCAAGTGGTACGGTTTCGGGCTTTAGGTATTTGAGGGTTTAGGTTTCAGGGCTCAGGGTTTAGGGTCCAGGGCTGTAGAGGTTTAAAGGATCGCTGTTACTTTTGGACACACCCTAAAGGTACACGAGCCCAATCACCATACACTCCCCTAAGCACAAATCTAAAACTCCTACCAACCGCAAGTAGAGTAGGGGTCGGGACAATCCCACAGACTCAAAAGAAACCCTTAAAGCTTGGTACCTATATTGGTTCGTCGGAGTTGGCTTCTAGTTGCATGATTATGCCATCAAGTTGTGGATTTGGAGCTGGCGGTCTAGCGCCGAGTGATTTCTGCCACAGTGCACAGCCAGAAACCCTGAGTCTCATGCTTCTTTCTCACCTTCTCTTTGTGAGTCGCTCAGATGCACCGGACCCCGGGAAAATGGCAGTCAGGCCTAAGCAGAGTCCAGCCTGTCCCTGTTCGCCACAAAGCTTACCCTAAACCCCTAAACCAACCCTCAACTCTAACTCACTCACTCACACACCCATGCGCACGCACCCTAAACCTAAACCCAACCCTCAACCCTCAGTCCTGAACCTCTAAACTCCACGAATCCTGAAGCCCGGAAGCTTACAGCAGCGACAAGGCTTCCCTTTGGGCATGTCTCGAGAAGAGCGCAGAGGGTGACAGTCAATAATTCGATTAGGAAGAATAGTAACAAGTAATGAGCAATTAAAGTGGGGGATCTTCTTAGCAGTACGAACTCTACTGCTCAGGGGCCTACATCACCGAAGAAAACCCGACCCAAGCGCACCTTAGACTAGCATCGGTTCTAGCTGCAAAGTTTTTCTTGCTCATGAGAGTCCAGGGCCCAAGTGAGATTCAGGCATCAAGGGTGAAGCTTCCAGGGACGTAGCTGCAGGACTCAACCATCTGGGGATGTCTGGGGCGTGATAAGGGCCTGAGCTTATTGAGGGCGACTTGACATGGGCTTGCAGGCGTCGAGGTTCATGCCCTTCCTTGACACATGCCCGAAACAAAAGGGCTGTGCACTCGTGCTATCCGCAGAAGAGCAGCACTTTGGCTGTGCCACCGGCGTGGGCCATCGAAAATACCACCTGGTAGCCCTAAAATCCAAATCCCTAAACCCGAAGAATTGCAGTGTTCCCGATTTCCTGAAGAGCTTTCCGTTCGAGTCGGGCTCGAGTAAAGGCTTAGGAAGTACGCCACTGCTGATCGACAAAACCCGGCATTGTCTTGCGTACCCCGGACGGTGGGAAATCTAGGTAAACAACTCGTTTTACCCTAAGGGTTCACATATTGGAAACTCTGTAAGACCCAAGTATATACTGTGCGGGAACATGGACCCTCAGAGGTGTGCTACATTTTACAGTGGGGCTCTTTGTACATCTTGTCACCAGTAACTATGGAAATCTGCCGCGAGCACACGGGGCCACTGGCACAGCTTGCCCATCACGTCACGAGAGGCAGTGCTCTCAATGAAGTCGAACTAAGGGCCCCTAAACCCTAAACCAATAAGACCGAGAATAGTGTTCTAGGGACCTCCGCTACTGGGATCTTGTGAGCGATGCTGGGAGATCTTGGGAGCTTTAGGCCCGAACCCCTACGTGCTCTGGTTTAGGGTTCAGGGGTTTAGGGTTTACAGGGGTTTAGGGTTTAGGGGTTTAGAGGTTTAGGGTTTAAGGTTTAGGGTTTAGGGGTTTAGAATTTTAGGGTTTAGGGTTTAGGGGTTTAGGGGTTTAGGGTTTAGGGGTTTTGAGTTCAGGGTTTAGGGGTTTAGGGTGTAGCCTTGAGAGAACATGACCGTCGGTACAGCGGGCGCGAAAACCCTGCGACCAGCGGCATTCCGCAAGTCGGAGATTTCGTGCTTTAGCCACGACGTCCCTTCGGACTGTCGCAGTCAAAACTGTTAAAGGTTCAGCTACCCACTCCCGGCAACTTAGATGCGAGTATCGCACTTGTAATTCGTCATTCAATTCTGCTATTTGTTAAGGGTTAAAGCACCTGCAGAATATGCTCGAATGAAAGCATCCATGGGCAGGGTTGCACCCAAACCCCAAGCTGCAAAGCCGGGAACCATGGGATATTGAGACCATATGAATGGGTGGCTGTCATTTCTAGGGTCCCTTTTTGGGATCCCCGTTATAATACGGCACCTAATATATAGGGTACCCAAAAAAGGGACCATAGTTTTGACAACCTCCCATGTGAGCACTCATTTCAGTGCCGACCTGCCTTGGGCAGGCGGCAGAAAGAGGCGAAAGCGACGCAGCGCTCTGCTATCCGAAGAAGCGCTGCTATTGTTGATGATACAAATCATTACCTTGAGGACCCTAAACTTTGGGAATTATGATATATTCCCTATTATGGGATATGCAGGATTTATATCATCAGCAGTATCAGAACAGTTTCGCAATGATGCATCAGGATCCCTGGATCCTTTCGTAGTTTGAAAAGCTATTGCATGGCATTGCTTTGCTTGGTCATGGGTCTTATGCTATGATTGTTCTGTAGATGTTTTGTTTATCATACGTAGAGGTACTGCTTGATGAATGATTCTGGCCCCCATCTGCACCACCCAACCATTTGCCGCATCATCTCAGCCATCGACGCCTCAGTGGCATGTACGGCAGTTTGCGGTTTTCAGTCTTAGCACAATCAGTCAAGCATTCGCATGCGGCATGCGGTAGCTTTATCAAATCTTAGTTCGGCCGACATGCTGAAAAATCCTCTACCTCCCTTGGTAAGGCCAAAGGAGATATTCCATAGGCGCATGGATCCTTGCAGGCCCAGCAAAGAGTATATGGACCCTTGGGGCAATGAATGCCCAGCACTAGACCTAAGGCCCTGGAAATCCGACACTTTAAAGGCCTACCTACTTGTCCAGTGATTATCCTGGAGAACTAATGAGAACTAAAGGTTAACCTTGAGGAGTATATCGGGATCATAAAGGGAGTACAGTACCCCAAAAAGGTTAAAGGTTACCTACTCTACGACTGACTACTCGGACCAAAAAAACCAAGGAACGCCCGGTGTTTAGCGGTTTGAGCCAAGGCTCCGAAACAGCATCGTGCCCAAGAGCAAGGCAAGAATGCAGTGGCTGATCCTGGGCAGAGGGCTCTATGGGTTCAGAGTGTAGAGTATGGGGTCCAGGTTGTTGAGGTTGAAGATGTCTTTCCGCGCGGGGTTCGAACAGTGATGAACAGTGGCGAAAAGACTGAAATCCAAACTCGAAACCGCACCCCATGCACCCCAAAAGCCGTGCCGAAACCTTACGGGCCTTGAAGCCTACAGTTCGCAAAACCCTAAGTCTTAAATCCATTAACCAAATCCTCGACCGCACAGGGCCTAAAACTAAAAACCTGAGCCCACCCTGAAGCCTTAAACCCCAGTACAGGGGCTCTCAACATTTAGCAGTGATATTCCCGATAGTCCTGGTAGGTCATGCTAAGCTAACGAAAATCACAGGGGCTTAGGCTTGAGGGTGTGGGTCTCAGGTTGGACTATGTTTGATCTACTTCAAAACGCATTCTTAAGGCACCCGGGAATTAAGTCTTTAACCTACAAAGATTGCGGAGCCCTGTTCGCAAATGCATCCTTTACACCCTAAGGCCCTAAGCCGCATCCCAGACAAAAAAAGCGGAGACACGTGCGGCAAAAGGCACCCGGTGCTTGAAGCAGATGCATGGCTGGAGACCATGAAGGCATCAGTAGTTGTCGTCGTGCTGGGCACCGTGCTGGCTGTGCTGCCTGAACTGGGCTTGTGACTCCGAGACTACCTGAAGGTTTCAAACTCCCATGATAGATCTGTAGCCTAAACCCTACTCCACTATAGCAAGCACTCCGTGTAGGCTGTGTGCGACTGCGGCTTATAGGGTAGTTGAGGGCCTGAATCTGAGAGGACGGCCGTGGAGTGTGCTGCTGCCGTGACCGCCGAAACCCGAAAGGATCAGGCAAATTCCGGGACGACGCGAATGGCACGCCAAGGCATGAACCTCAAACCCTCAGAAACTGAAACATCGAAACCTGCCACCCGAAAAGCTACACTCGCTCGAGGCAAGCAAAGGCTTTTTGGGGTGGAGTACAGAACTTAACTGCAAGTGCATGAAGTATACAGTATACTGTCAAGCGGTGAAGATTTGATCGGATGCCCTGTGGAATCTTTATGTGACCCCGTAGATAAAACCCTAAACCCTAAACCATTGGCAAAGCCTTTTTTGGTCCCTCTTCTTGGCTGTACCCTCCTCTAAGGGTCCATGTACCTAAACAGTATATACTTTGGCCTTAAAGTACTCCCTATATAGGTACATTTGGCCTGAAGTATATCCTATTTGGGTACATGGACCCTTAGGGTCAAGGGGATCCATCAAGGGGATGGAAGTCTCAGAGTAGCGTCCACTGCCAACGGAGAGTGCCATAAAGGGACCCTTTACTGGATACAACACGTAGGGTTTAGGGGTTTAGGGATCCAACACGGTACACTATAGGAAACTTAAAGATCAACAACCCTCACGGGTCACGGTGGCACTTCTTCCGGTTCTAATCGCCAAGAGGCTTAGCGTGCTGTTGGTGTTGGCCGTGCCATTCAAGTCTGCGGAGCCTCATGCGACCACACAAGGATTGGATTGACACCCCTAGCCTTAATCTAGCATGATTCAACTAGCCTTAATCTAGCGTTGAGATTCAACCAAATGGGAGTTTCCGAAAATAGGGGATCCTAATATCGTACCTTAAATAAATAATAGGACCCTTATATTGAGGACCCCCAAAATACGGTACCTCTGATTTTCGGAAACACCCAAATATCTGTTAAACAGAACACAAAACCATCCTGCGAACTGAAGTTCCGGCATTCAAACCCTAACGGTCCATGTGCCCAAATAGTATATACTTTGGGCCCAATGTACCCATATAGGGAGTACTTTGAGGCCAATGTATATACTATTTAGGTACATGGACCCTTAGGGAAAGATACAGGATTCAGTCTGTTTTGGGGTCTACGGTCTGCGCTTCTAATCATGGGGACTATGTTTGAGCCTACGTTCGGATATGTCCAAGAATCGAGAGTTATGCCGTAAGAACACGGAGCCTGACGCACTAGGGCAGAACCTTATCCCAAAGGGTCCATGTACCCAACTAGTATATACTTTGGCCCCAAAGTACCTAGAAACCGACTAGTTTAAGGCCATGTTTTGGGTTTAGGGTGCAGGGTTTAGGGTTTTTTCCACTACTTGAATACATGGAATCTTATTAGGGAAGGCTTAGGATTATAGGTCTAGGGGTTCAGAGTTTCGGGATTCCTAGGGGTTCAAAGTGTGCTGCCGAGTGGCTTGTCGTCGTCGGAGTTGTGGCCGCGCATGCCGCGCAAATATCTTGGTTCAAGATATAGGGTTCAGGACTGGCATGCAACGATCATTCCAGCATCATTGATCCTTTCGTCCTTTGATCCCTATGTGTTCATCATCCAAAAAAGAAACGGGCCAAACCTGACCCCAGACCGTACAGTAGATGCTACGCCCAGAGGCCCTGAAGAACCATGAAGCCATGTAAACACTAAAGGGGCTCTGAGGCGAGAACTGCCGATAGTGTGTTTCAGCGGTAAGGATGCATGTTGGGCTACTTGGCTTGCAGGATCGCCGGACATGTAGTCAGTCTGACTAGACATAATAAGGGCCGACATAAAACCTCTCCTACGCAGCCATTCTCCTCCCAGCATCAAGCTTCCACTGAGCATTATCGTCGTCTTACAACTGTAATTAGCTGTGAGTTCTATACGAGTTGCTGCTGGAATGATTGCTGTTGCCACTAAGATTGCGATATCGCCGGAACCGATGTTACTGCAACGGGTACTGCCACTGCGTTGTGGAACATACTCCGCTACTACCACGACTATCGCCAACACCAGAGACGACTTATTTGTTTGTCTGATTTTGGCTTGTGCTACGAGCATGGCCGGTAGTCTTAGTAATCCAATCCGGGACTCCGAACCCTACCTTGGACGCCTTTGATCTCACACCTCAAGCGCCGTTCCCCTTCCGTAGATCGTGAACCCCAAAAACTACACTGCGAAAGACTTTTCATCCCTCCCTCACTCCCTCCTTCCCCAGAACAAACTGTACTGTCATTGCAATATGTACTACTGGCAAAACAACAATACTTCATGGATATTGATGGTCATTCTCGCGATCCTATATCGACCAGAAGCTGCGAACGGGTCGTTCTGGAAACCGGGCCTTCCAGCTGTGAGCTGTAGCCACCTCCATTGAAAACGTCGCTGTAGCCCTGGGCGTGTTGTGTGTTTGGGGTTTCAGGCACGGGGTGTGCTGGACTGTTGTAGCCATCTTAAAATCATTCGAATTCCCTCTTAGCGCATAGTCATGACGCAGTGTTAGACCCTAGTCTGAACTTTTCGAACCTCATGCAAAGCCCTGGGAGATGATCCTACCTGCCTCTGCCGAGAGCAGCAGCACCGCAGTTTGGGCACGCACCCCGGCCGCGCAGTAGGCAACGATTGGGGTGTCCTGTGACATGCCAGGAAAAGCTCAACAAAATTCAACAGCTCCCTAAACATGTACACCTGTTTACTGCAGTACCACGAACACCAGTTAAAAGCCACCCAGTCACCTTAAAACCTGCTCACTCCCTGTGAAAAGCGGGCCTTCTCCGCCAAGTCAGCCACAGCCTGCTCCGGATGAATGGGGCAAAAGTTTGCAGGTCAAGCTCCATGGGACATCTACTGTCGTGCTTCGGCTTCACAAGCCCCGAAGCCCCGTTACACCAAATTCGGTGTAGCCCAAACCATTGAAACCCAAGCACTGCATTACCCTTAATGAGGAATATGCCATAATTCCCATGGTTCAGGGTCCTTAAGGCAATGCAGGATGTATATCGTCACCAGTATAGAACTATAGAAGGCATTCAACTCCCGGGACTCCGAACCCCCCTAACCCCCAACAACATATCCAAAACTACAGCCCTGCTGCCCGAAACCCCGAACCCTAAAGCCTCGTGAACTCTAAACCCTAAACCCATCGCTTATAATATAACGGATTACATACATCGAGCCTAATGCACAGAGATTCAGTATCCGCGAGCTCTGCTTCACCGGACCTCTTCAGACGGTTTTGACTTTCGAAGTAAGGTAACTCTGAGTGAATTCACGCCCTTCACCGACGGCTGAGTGATAGGGAGCAGCTGTGCGCCTGCTGCCAGCCAGCTGGCTCCCTCAGTGATCTGAGAGACCGATGACTCACTCACTGGCATGTTGAATGCACTTGGCCAAGTCTGCAGTGTTGTGAGAAAAACGAACACACTTCTCACTTCACGTCAGGGAATTTACTATAAGTATGATACTTGGACTAAACCATCAACATCAGCATCATGAAGAATAAATCAGCTACGGGAGGATATGGCTTGATGAACCATGAAGAAGTCTCTCTTGCAACGATCTCAACGCTGAACACAAAACCAAGCGCATCAGACACGGATGAGGTTGACTGTTCAAACTTTCAACTTGGTTCAAGATTCACATTTAGCCTATGGGCTCCGAAGTTTCAAATTTCCAGGTTGGAGCGGGCAGCTTCATTCTTAGGAATACCCAATGACTCGCGGCACACGGCTGCTAAATTGAGCTTACTGCGTCCGGGTCTCTTCTGCACCTGAAGACGCGTAGCGCAGCTGACGTGCCCTTGATCCCACTCCCACTGCTCTCGAACGTCCAGCACAACCGCGCAGCGGTTCACGTTAAGGCTCATGTTGCCGTGGAGTGGGACCTGGAACGGTCCCGCAGGGTATGGAAGCGCTTGTTTCTGGCAATGGCTGCGGAAGCGATCCTTGCTTGCAGTACATGCACACTCACTTTCATGACACATTGAGCACCTTGCCGCTTACCGGGAACCCTGTTTTGAACGCAACTCCCCAAAGTCTCTGTCATGACAAAAATGAACACCTCAAGAGGAAGCCCAACTTAAGCAACTCCTCGGTCATGCAAAGTGCCATGAGCAAGCCGGGTCCTTAAAGTCCTTTGTGACCGTGCTGCCGGTGTCGAAAGTAGTCCGGCATTTGACATCCTGACACAACAATTGCGAAGTAGACCTTAATGGCGCTTAGAATTCCAACTTTCGGCCTGTTGTCCCTGAACCCGAAGCCTCAAAGCCACATCCCTCGTCGTTTCGCCCTTATGTGGCCTGTTTGAGCCCTTACCCCAGAGTGCAATCAGCTAGCGTTCCAGGGAATCACTTCCGAAGGCCTCCCGACCCAGAACCTCAGCTAAGCCGACGTTCTCACATCTCGCACCCAAAATCTGAGTCTTGGATGTTCAGCATAGATGAGACTCAGGGGAAAATTGAGTTCGGACTTTATGTACCCTACACGCCCTAAATCCTACGAAGCCGCAAGCAAAGTCTCCAAAACCTGGTGTGCGACCAAGGCTGGCGCTGTCTTAGACGCCACCTGGAAGTTCCAGGCCTCGAAACAAAAGGCATAAACCACTTGTAAGGCTTGGGATATTGGAAACGTACCGGTGGCTTGGTAGACACTATAACCCATGCAATTGGGCCCCAAGAGACCATTCTCATTGTGGTCTTGGGGGCCTAATTCCATAATAGTAGTATAGGTGAGCCCCTAGGTAAGATCTTATTTGGGATCTGCTGCTCGGGAGGTTTACAGTTCATGTGTGCTTCGGGGTTTCAATGCGTCCCAGGCTATTAAGGTCTTGCGCATTGCGGTGGGCGCGTTTTTAGCTGTTAAATGAGCGTATCAAATTTCAGACTGTCTCTCTTGTCTGGAACAGTTCTGCAGCCAGTTCTGTTCCTGGTGTCTCAAGCATACTCTTGCTTTCTGAGCTGGGATTAGGCTTCGGATTCTCTGGTTGAGGTGTGGGGTGGGAATGGTGAACGGGCCAGAGCAAAAAACACATGCAGAACACTTTTGTTCAGCTTTGGCTGGCCTGGCCCAAAGAAGCTCACAAAACACTGCACCACCAGACCTTTCCATTTCATTACACCCCAAGCACTGAACGCCTCCAACCCAAATCTTTAGCCACTTCCTCCCGGTGTACCGAGCCCTTGGCATCAACCCATGGGCCATCGGCACTCCTGATGAGAACTCTGCAGACGACTTTTCAAGGACTGACCATCGGGAAGGAGGGAGGTTCTCCGATGCGGTGTGCGGATTCAGAAGTTGTTGGGGTTTCGGGCTGGAGGCTCTTTCCCTAGGGATCAAAATAGCCCAAAAGCCTTATATCGTGTGGTCTTTGGGCCCAAAAGTCTTTGGGCCCAAAAGCTATATTATTGAGTCCTTAGATCCCTAGAGTTTGGACTACAGATGGAGTCGGTGGGTGCTTCCGTGACTGTCACTCGTATGATCCAGCACCTTCCCACCTTGGTACTGGGCTGTGTCTGTTATGCGCGCCCTCGTTCTCAATTTATGGCTCCGAAACTGATTAAGGAACCAGATGGTTGGACGAGCCGAGGCACGGCCTGCCCAAGTCCGATGTCTGACAAAACTAAGCCCCTGTCAGGCCCTATTATGTAGCCACTCGACCCAAACCGCCGCTTGGCCAGTTGGAAACATCGGAGACACCCATGTCATGCATCATCCGGACTATCAGCCGCTATGGGACTATAGCATATTCCTGGATCGCAATCACGGATCCTAAACACTTGTGTTCCTGTGAAACCCCATAAAGACCGCTGCGCGATTTGTCTGTCAGCTTCCACATGCTTCGCTTGCCCGCCAGGGGCATGGCTCGGTCGAGTACTGCAGCTTGCACGCACCTGAAAGCTCGGAATGCGGAGTTTGGGCTTTTGGGTTTGAAGTCTGGTTCATACTGGGCTAAGAGGTTTAGCATGGTTTGGAGTTATGAGATTTCAGGGTTTCGGCAGCTGCGGGCTTTGGGTCCTTGCAGCTGGGAGCGGAGATCTGGGACTCTGGGGTTAGGGCTTTTGGGGGCTACGGGTCGACGGGCTTTCGGCTTTCAATGTTCGAATGCTTAAGAATGACACCCTCTGTCTGTACTACGGTTCTCAAACATATACGGATAATTTCAACACGAATTGGAGAAGGAGCTCTTGAACACGTTCCAACATCAGTGCCTGTTCTGGATGTAGATTTTTCGTGTAGATTGCGCAGAATAGGCTCGGTACTCGAGTCAAGGCTCCCGAATCAAAACGGAATCCATAGTCGTGGAAAATGCTCCGTTAGTGGCCTGCCTGGAAATGTTCGGAATGCTTCGTCCTACGACTGAGGGTGTACTCGATATGTTGGATCTTGAGGTTCAACCGTCAAGACATGCTAACAGACCACGAGCCGAACAGCAAGCCAAAGCATCTCAATCCTCCGAGACGAAGTACGAGTTCTGAAGTCCATGATGGATCCGATCCTGGAACATGAACCCTCAACAGTCCTGAACTTGCGAGGGCTCTGTCAACAGTAGCAAGTAACCTTACACAGCAGCGAACAGAGAAACATGAAGCCCTGAAGCCTGTGTACGTATGATCTTCCACTGCCGCCGAGACCCCTAACTCCATCAACATTTCATCCCCAAGACCCCTAGCCTCCCCGAAGCGTTCAAAGGAACTGTCGGGCACTTCAACAAAAGGCAGATTACAAACAGACTGAATGTCTCTGCTTGAAGTCAAACATTGCTTGTTGCAGTCACTTCGAGATTGCAGGCAGATGTCCGGATACCACTCCGTCCTGAATCCCCAAACCCCAGTTTTGCAGAGTAAGCCCCAAAAGGCCCGTGGACCCACCCAGCCTTGCCAGCCGAAATCGCGAGATCCAGAAACCCCTAAACCGCTAACTCCAAAGACCCAAAGCCCCGTAATCTATTGCAAACCCACAGATCCAAACTCCAACTCCACGCGCCAACTGTTTGGGAATCTGAGGACATCACAAACCCTTGATACCGGTAAAACTCTTTATACAACCCTCCCTGTCGCTCCTACCACCACTAGCTAGACACCAAACTGAACTTAAGCAAGGCCCCAAAGCTTCCCACTTAGACATCCAAAACAACTCCCAAGGTTCCCGCGTGGACCAGCATCGTTGCCCGGCAAGCTAAGCTCCAGGGCATGCACCATCTTTGGCTCCTTCAGGGCTCGCAATTAGCAAGACTGACGACTCCCAGAGCTGGAGGCTTTCATGTTCCGGGGGGGCTCGGTTCAGGAACAATCCGGATACAGCACAAGAGTGAATCTCGGAGTAAGTCATGGGATTGTAGGTTTCGCTCTGTTTCCCGTTGCCGGTTCCCGAACAACATACAGCCCAACTCCCTTGTGACGAGGTTATCGGGTTCGGCCTGAGAGGATTAGTTGAGGGTCAGGGTTATTAGGCTTACAAGGTCTGCAGGCCCCAGCTTTCGGAGCGTCAGGGTTTCAATGCTTGGAGACCTGATCAGGCTTTGTAGACCCTGATGGGTTTGGAGGCCTGTAGCTTCGTGCTTTGGTGTTTTACGGATTGGTGCTCTTGTTTTCTAATTCGCGGCACGAATGTAAAGGACAGGGTTCAAAGATGTTCAGAAAGACTTGGACAGCAGGGCTAGCATCGCATCGCTTCAGTATCCATTCGAGCTGCAAGTGGCACCTTGGCTTGCATTTCGATAGCTCAGCATGGATCAAGCCTCTGCTCCCTCGACACACAAACCGCGTGCAGCAGTCCTTGTTCTGGGCTTGTAGAACAACGAACTGGTGCTCGACATTGCCGTTGCCTGACCTGCATCTGCTTTGAGGGAAGCAACTTCGCAGCAGCATGAGGGAATGCAACGCGGAACTGATCCCCAGTAGGTGCTGCAAATGTGAAGCGTCATGCAAGAGCTTAAGACTCGTGTGGCAAAAGAAGGTGCGCACTTAAGACGCATTTGCACAGGACTCTTCCGAAGGACTCATGTTGATGCCTAATGCGAAAAACCAGTAGTTGCTACTCTCTTCGGTCACGGACATTGAGTGAGCTGTCCCCTGCAGCCTAGCTCCATATGCATTGACGGCATGTTCTCAGAAGCAACAAGGTCTGCTTTTCTGCATCAAGACAGGATGCATTTACTGGTGCTGGCGGGTGCACTCGAGCTCGACAGGTTGCGATGCAGATCCAGCCGCTGCTCATTCATGCGCCGAGCCCGAAGCAATTGAAGCCGTGCTTCAGCTTCAGCTTCCATAAAAAATTGCATTTGCTGACGATACAACGTAAAAAATTGCACTTGCTGACGATACAACGTTCCTTCATACGCGCGTCTTTCGGAAAGCAGTTCCAATTCGCGCCGGCTTTCTTCCAATTGTGCGGAAACGGAAGACCGTTCGAAGGCGCGCTGCCTTCTTTCCATTGCTAATTCGTGCCGCGCATCATCCAAGGACATACTCTGTTGTATGTAACGCATTGTCAATTCCGTCCGCTCTCTTTCTAATTCGCGCCGCTCTGTGGCCAGGGGAAATTCCTGCAACCACCTCAGGTGAGAAATCATCTGACCAAGATCCGTCTCCTCCGACAAGACTGGCATGCTAGTACATGGCTGAGTGGTTGCTTGGATAGAAGGCATGTCGACCGTGCACTTGCCACGGATTGATGGCTCCGCCGCATTTGTAGAAACGATACTCAAGCTTTGGCGATTGGCCAGGTGACGATACAGCTCCAACAGGACCACCTTGAAACACTCCATCAGAGAGCTCTGGCATCGGAGACAAAGCACAAGCTTGCCTGCTTCAGATCCAGCAGCTCTCTGTGCAGCCATGCAACAATGTGCAAGCGAAGCCAAGGTCCAGCGTAGAGCATTATGCTGCCACGGGTTCCCTGACTTGAAAACCCATGTAACGATGAACTCCTGCAAACACCTTGACTGCGAAATCGCGTCTGACAAGTTTTGCACCACAACGATTCGGAGGCCCCTGGTGGTCGTCAGCCATGCATGACTGTTCAAATCGCCGCCATTCAT